ATTCTAAATGTGAAGTCAACCAATCCTCAGTGGGCCAGAGTAGTTGACTATGGCCTAGTCGGCCTGCAAATTTTTCTCCGTTTTTGGTCATCACCTCGGTGTTCCCCTTGCTCGTATGCCCCATTCTCTTAGCTAAGAAATCACCTTTAGTGGTATATTTTTTAGGTACAAAAATCATCCTCTGTACGCTCTGAAGCGGCACCTTTTAAAGTTCGAGGCGCTGTACCCCGCGGACGCGGCGACGCTGGGCTTCGTGCGCGGCGAGGCGGTGTACGCGCGCGAGTGCGTGCACGTTTGCAAGTCGCGCGATATCTGGCTCAAGGATGCTAAAGTTGTTAAACTCGGCGAAAAACCATACAAAATAGTTAAAGGCAGACCTAAGTGGGATAAAGTGAGTGTTCAGATACAACGAATTATTGTTCGAATTTCATGTTTTGGCAAATTTCTTGTTTTGATGGTGAAAAATCATAAAAGCGTTTTATCTTTTTTTCTAAATTGTTTTTTCCAGTTATCTAACCAGTTAATCAAAGACAAGCCTCTTGAAATATTTGGTCCGTGGCAGGTAATTGATTATGAACCACCGGTAGCCGAAAATGGTATCGTACCTAGGAATGCATATGGAAATGTCGAACTGTTCAAAGAATGTATGCTTCCTAAAGGAACTGTACACATTAAATGTAGGTTTTTCATATTTTACCGACTGGTAACAGAATCTAAATTCCATTTCCATAGAAATTTTTCTTTGTTATTGATATAAAATTAGCATTTCTTGTAGTTTTTCTTCCATTTCCATAAGACGATTGTTTGCATTTTATTCATCCCCCAAATTAAAGCTTTAGAAAAAAAAATTAGTTATGAACTGTACATGACCATAGAAAACATTTGTAGATTCATCCTAAAAACATAGACATAAATTAATTATTATATTGTTTTGTTTTTAGTGCCCGGATTGAATAGAGTTGCCAAGAAACTGAACATAGACTGTGCCCCTGCATTAACTGGTTTTGACTTCAATAGCGGAGGCTCTCATCCAGTCTATGACGGATTTGTGATTTGTAAGGAATTTGAAGAGGTTATAACTGAAGCATGGGTCAAGGTATACAAAGAATCTTTTTACTAAATATTACTATATACTAAAGCTTAGATGGATGGATGGATGTTAGCTGGTAACTCCAAAACAGTCAAACGGATTTGAGGGTTGTTTGGTATAGATGTAGAACATAATCTGGTACAAAACATAAACTAATTAAACATTTTCTTTTTTGTTAATCTTGCGGACAAAATCGCGGGCTACAGTTAGTTATTGTTAATTCTTAGAAGATTAATAAAAGTAGTTTAATGCTTAAAGTTTAAATTTGAAAACAAGTTTTTTGATTTTGTAAAAACTATCACATTTACTTGTTACAAATAACCTATTATAAAAAATGCAATACCAATGTTAAAAACTGGAATGTGATTGTAGAATCAAGAAGAACTAGAACAGAAGGAACGAGAGAAAATAGATGCCAGAGTTTACGGTAACTGGAAAAGGCTTATAAAAGGGTTATTCATACGAGAAAGGCTTAAGGCCAGATATGGTTTTAATGGCCCCACGCCTGGGACCTCACAGGCCAAGAAAAAACAAAAAGGACCACGCCTGGTTGTAAAAAAGACAAAATAATTAAAGAAAGCTTTTGAGTAAGGTACAACTTTTTACACTTATACTTAGAATAAATTAAAATAAGTGAAACTTTTAGGATTACATTTTTTCAAATTGTCATTATTTGGACAACTATTGGGTAATTTTTAAAAGCTAATTCTGATTATTGTAAAAGTTTATAAAAATTACATCCTACCTCAGTTTTCTTATTATAGTTCAAGCGTTCGTCCAATATTTAATAATTATCATATGAATCAAGCAATATTTGTAAGTCATTTGAATATTTACTGGTTGTATTTTGTACTGATTTGCATATATTTTTCCAACTATAGTATCATTATACAGGCTGTACCAAAATGTTACTTGACCTCAAACTCCATCATCATAATCATAATAATATCGTCATAATAATAAAATTGTGAAAAATGTTGCAGACATTTGTATATCTCCTTATTACGATTGTCTATTTTTCTTAAACTAAGTATAATTTTTTAAATAAGATTTTTTGTTTTCCTCAAATTCTAGGTTTTAAATACTTTACTTTGTTTCTGATTATCTAAATACCCTGGTGGTTGTAATTTCAATTTGGATTACTGTATATATTATCCAGTGTGTGTCTTGAAATAGATTCCATATGTCTATAGGTTGAAGTAGACAATGGATCTAAGCTCTGCTGATGACTTTGCTAATTTGTTCAATTCCGCTTGACATTTGTCACCTTATCTTATAAATTGTTTTATGTTGTCCTAATAGGTGTAAAATGAATTATTAGGATAAGGCTTTTGTTTTGCAATAGTGATTAAATCACATATTTTTTTATATTCTAGCCTGCTTTGCTTTTAGTGTAGTATCTGGATATAAGAAATTCGTATTATGTTGGTTTTAAACTTTAAGAGATTTCAAATCTTTCTCGATGTTTGTGTACATATTTACAATATTTGTTTGACAAAAAAAACGATTCATTCCGCCTCTATAACTATTTTTTGTATCTTAATTACTTTTATTCAAACTGAGATACAATTATTGATGTTTCTTTTCGGGATCAACAGAATTCAGCTCTGAGTGTTTTATCACTAAAATAGAAAACCCTGAATAGGAAGTCGCCAAACTACAAGTTAAATTAAGATTGTTGTAATTTATTCATTTAAATTTTTGCAATAATTGTTAACTATTTTTTTTGTCTCGATAATAACTACGGGTATGTATTTATATAATTGAGAATCAGTAGTGTATCTCAGCTGTGTTATTATTTCTATGATTTTCTATTGTGTTGCCATGTTATTTTTAATTTGCCTTAATTTTTTATTTAAGTGTTATGATTGGAATTAAATTAGATTGAATCTTAATTGTTTTTATTTCCGTTTAGGATATAGGAATAAAAAAGTGTATTTTGGTTTTATTTATTTATTAAATATGAAATTAATGAAGAATACTGCCACAAGATCTGCAATAAGCCGACATAATTTAAAAATATAATTTATTTAGCAAGTTATAGCGAAAGCCTTAAAATATTTAGTTAACTCTAGCACAACTTATTGCTGTTTTATTATATGAAGTGATCAAATTATATACAAAATCTTTGGTGTATAAAAATATGTATATCCACTTCAGATCTGTAGGATAAGATCTGGTCGGTCGCAACGATCACAACTAAATGCGATCTTTATCCGTGTTTACAGGATAGTTTTGTACCTACTTTCCGTTATCACAATGTGATACTATAGAAGGTAGGTAATCACAATGCCATATTTTTGTTTTTAAATATTTTTTTTTATTATTTTATTGTTTTTAAATCCTTACATACATATAACGTATCTATTAAGTCTATGTGCCTTAATCTATATATTTTATGATGAATTTATAAACTAAGGGCCCAGACACATTCATCGCAGTTTTGTACCTATTGAGAAAGGAATGTAACCTTTAATTTATACTATTCTATCATAAAATATTTCAACTTACAACTAACCATTTCGCGTCTAGTCTCATTAGAGATCAACCATAATTAAAACCAGTTTAATATATGGTATGATCTAGTTATTTTATGACAGAATATATTGCAATGCAAAATTGCATGTGTAGTTTATTACGTCCAACAATGTAGTCTTTTAAGCCATGGTTAATGTGCCGGCACCCATTCCGAATCCAACTCCCTTAGGTCCGAAGTTGCGACCGTAACAGCTGCGGCAGTAAATTTCACCGTTGGGTCCGTCATTCAGGTTTGTAGAATCCTGCAAAAAAGCAATATAAGTATTCTATACTTAATATAAATTAATAATTTTACAAACTTCATAACTTTGGGTTGAAATGTATTTTTCTCTAAACCGTTTTTTTTGGTGTGTTTAAATATAAGCTGTGTGAATGAACAAATAACTGGGCAACACGTAAAAGAAAACTGACGTCAACTGTCAATGATACTGTCACAATTAAAGTTTTCGTCAAAAACTAATTCAAGTAACGATAAATAGTTTTAAAAAGGATAAGAAATATATAAAAACGAAAATGTATTTCATCAAAACTTCTTTGTCGATTATCTTCCTTACTATCATTCAAGCCCAAACTTGTACTGCCGAATTTTCAAGTGAAGATTGTTCCTCTTTGGGGTTTATCAAAGCCAATCTTCTATGTTCATCGTGCGACCAACTCAAAGATTTCAATTTGGAACAGCTTATTGAACACTGC